CTAAGCAATATAACGCAGTTCTTTATCTCTTTTATTAAATACCAGCTCGATACGTGAAATGAAACTAACCTGCAACAATTTTTAAGCTCACGCATACAGGGAAAACAAAGCTTCGCAGTCAAGATATTCTACCTGCAAGTTGAAATGTACTAACGAAGTTATTGAAAAGTCCAGAAGCTATGTGCACTCTCATAAAAATTAGGAATAATAGTTTTAATTAGTCCAAAGGGGCAATTTGCCCAAAAGGACTATTAATTTCGTTTTGTCAATTTTGCGTCGATTCACGATAAGCGTTGTTTCACTTTTCAAATTGTTGCCGCGAAATATTATCGCCCTGTATTATATTTAAAGAAATTAAATAATGAAGAATCTGCATGAATGTGTGTATGTTTCTCGCATTGTGATAAAACAACGGTACCTAAAGCCATCAAATTTTAAATAACGTAATCTTCCATAGAATATGGGCATGTGGAAGGTCTAATTTTAATTTGAAATTTGTTTTATTGTCAATTTCACGTTTTGTAACACAACGAATTTTTGATTAACAAACAAAGCCATTTCAAAGCAGCAATGGCAACATTGTATGAAAAAAAAAAAAATTATCTCCAGCGCGCGAGATTATCGAAAATTCTAAAGATATGCTCATTTTAAAACTATTTTGCGATATTCCTGTTGAACTAAATTTTATGGTTTAAGAACATAGAACATGATATTTAATAAGTTAATACATAAAACGTTAAAAAAAAGTCTCTTTGGACGTTATTTAAAATCTGAAACCTTTCAGAATTTTTTTAATTTTATTATTTATTTATTTATTGTTTAATTTAAGTTCTTTTTAGACAATGAATGTTGCGTTTTATATTTATTTTCTTTTGCCACTATTATTAATTGTTGCTATTATTTAAATTCATCAATTTCTACTATTATTAGGCAGAGGGAGTATTAACTAGTATGTGTGTGCTTATAATTTTCTGATCTGTGTCATCATGAAATCATTTTGATTCATTAAAATTATTGATTTAGCACCGAAACGTTGTGCGCGTCAATGTCAGAAATTTTAGATATCTGTAAACAAGGTATTTCCCTCGAATGGCAATACTTTATGTTGCCAAAATATTCCATTTACAAAGTGGAAAGAATACATACCTCTAAGAAGTTTCTTTTAGGGTGTTTAAATAAAATTTCGGAAATATATGATACATTTAAATAAAATTACATGAATATATGATACATTTAAATAAAATTACATGAATATATGAAGGAAGTTTCTTCTAGGGTGTTTAACTGAAAATACATGAATATATGATAAAAGCCGTCTCAACAAATTAATATTAAACCAATTACTGTAAAATGAATTTTACACACCAAAGTTTTCATCCCAAAACCGATTTATTAAAAAAAAATACAATAAAACACAATAGAATACAATAAAAACCATGAATGAATAAATAATTAAAATAGAAGTGAGATTTTTTTTTTCACTCTGTTAAAAAGACCTCAGAATGCTCATTATTGTAACAAAATGTGAAGTATAAATGTAGAATACATGATTTACTTGTCATTTACTATTAAATATGTGGTATGTTTGCAATCGCAAACTTGAAATTGATGGCTAGTTAAATAGTCAATCTATATCATATCATAATGCATACTTTTGATATCTGCCAGTAGTGTCAGAAATGGTTTTGAAATGAAAATTTTTTCATAAATGCAGTCATTAATTATAAAGACGATTTGTCTGCGCTATCCTTAATAGCAGAAAAGCAACCAGAAGGGCTAAATAATAAAGTATAAAACATCTGATGTGGACACCATATGACTTCCTTGTTCGACCTACTAAATTATGCTCATTTCTGCTGCATTTTATTTAAACTTATTTCCTCGAATTTCATTAGAGATATACATAATTTAGCTCTCACTTCGCGGAAAGGCAAAAATACATAAAAACTCAAAACACCTTCATTGAAAATTTTAAAGTACAGATAACATAAAACACCAAATACAGTTAAAAACAGTTAAAAAAATTTCACTGTTAAAATTACTGTTGCCGTGCAAAAACAAGCTATTCAGCCAGCGGGCAGGATGACAGATTTTTCGGTGCACAAAACTCATACTTTTGGTCCCACTCGGCCAAAAAATACTGAAACTGGTGCACAAACTGACATAATCCACTATTCTACTAAGACTTTCCAGAGTTTCAAATGCAAATAAATGGCGGTTTCATTAGGCTTAGTACTACTTAAACAACTTTTAAATAGTTGAAGATTCTACAAGTATTGCACACAGATTAACTAAAGGCATAAAAACCTTAACCGGAACATAAGAACAATATAATTCATTCACTTTTAAAGCAAAAAAAAAAAAAATTAACAATTTACCAAAATATAAGAATTAAAAAATGAGCTCACCGAGCCGGGTAACAGTGTAAGTACACACACACACACACACACACACACACACAACCACACACATACACACATACACACACCATATATATAAATTAAGTGAATTTAAGATCATACAATATATATATATATATTGTATGATCTTAAATTCACTTACTGCGAAATGAAGTTATTCTACTACTTGCTCAAAAGTTGCAAAGTAAGTTAATAATAATTATTTACTAAAGAAGTATGATATATTATCTCCTAAGATAATTTTAGTAGAATTATCTAAAAAGAGTGAATCCTAGTTAGTAAGTTTAATTCCAAAAATTGTTTTAAAGTAACTTGAATGTAAATTGTTAAAAATGTTTAACAGGGACTCGAATTAAATCATGAATAACAAAATTTCAATTGTAAAAAGAAATTAAATTAAAAACAAGTAATTAAATTAAAAGCAAGTAGTCATTGCCATTGATCGGAAATTAGTTGACTTTTCAAGGGAACAAACCAGCTCCCGTTCAGTTAACAATAATTAAGAAATAAATACGAAGGTGTTTCGTCCTTTACTCAAGTAATAAGACGATGCCAAACTGGCAATTTAAGTTAAGCCAAATACTTCCGTGAATTGAAGGGTTCAAGAACCAATGCAGAGCACCAAAGAACTCATTCTGATTAAGCATTTTCGCAAATTCAATTTTGAGTGAAAAGCAATTTATGCAGTAAAATTGATAAATTACTTGAGTAATTGTTCCCCGACACCCTCCCTCGTGTTATGCATTTTAATTCAAAACTATTTGTAAAAAAATTAAACATTGGAAATTGCATTATGAAATAGAACTCAAAGTAATTGAAAAAACATTAGAAATTACGAAATATAAGAATATAATGCAATCTTGCAAAACAAATCAAAAAATAAAATTTAAAATTTAAAATATTAATAATATGTAAAGGGAATGTACATGAAGATATAAAAGGCCAGAAAAAGCATTAATTAACTTACGTTCTTTCTAGTGGGAAGTGGGCAAAGTGTTCTCTTCGCGTCTTACTCAGAAAGGTTGTGTGTCCGAAATTCTTTTATCGGCAGAAGGGGCTTTAAATTATTTCAGTCGGCAAAACCTGTGTGAAGTAATTTATGGAAGAGGGAGTGACAAGGAATGCTTGAGAGACGTATGTTGTGGAGTTCTTATATGAGTGAAACCGTCTGTTAAAATTTTGAATATACTAGTGAATAGAAATTAATTAATTTCTGGCTAATTGTCGTGTCGCAACGAGGAAGAAATTAAGAAAAAAGGAATTTTCACTGTCAAAGAGCTATTTGACAGACTAAAGATTATGAAATAGGCCCTTTTTTTAGTAACAGCATAAGTTTGAGGACAATAAGCTTTTTACATTATCTACAGCTTTGTAATTACATTATGTACAAATCCTTCAACTGATAGTCATCCAACTTATACCGCCTTCTCAGGTTTTAGGTTATCATATCCCTATCAGTTAAATGATTTAGAGTGAGTATTTAACGCCTGCTCTTTTATACAACTGTCATTAAAAATCGGTAAAATACGTTAAAACTAAATTAATTAAGAAAAACATATAAGAAGAAATATACTAATATTTCTTCTTATAATATGCTTATTATTACTTTTTGATTATTATTACTTTTTTGCGTCGATTTTGATGTGGCTACGAACGATGATACTGATGTAGGCTACGAAATCATGGAGATCTTTTAAAGGACTACTGCAGATGAGCAGGAAGAAACTGACATTTTATTAAAATAAATAGCAGCTCACAACAATGTAAATAGCTGTAAATAACTCAAGGAGGGAAAAAAAAATTAGACAAGTCCTCCTAAGCACATGAATCAACGACATTTCTCACGCTGTAAACTCAAGAGCAGTAATCGCATAATTCTGAATATGTTCAAGTAAGTGGATTAGATTACTCAATCTCAGACGCAGTTGTGCCTACTAGCGACGGAGCGGTAAAGTCTGTGAACGCTGGTAATTTGACTACTAATTCTACTACTAATTCTACGCGAACGGACTGGCTGCATGGGCGTTTTCATGGTTTTCCCCCTTTTTAATATGGATATGAGCCAGGCTCCTTTAAAACGACCTCCACAAAGACATCCCTACCCTTAAGTAGATAATGCTCGAGATTTTTGCCATAATCTACTAAACCGAACGGAATTGTATATACAGTATTGTACAAATTTCTGGAAGCTTAGGGAAAATTTGCTCCTGGGGCATGGGATATCATGATCCGAAGTCTTCTAGAATGTCTTAAAGTTGAAGGGAAATCGCTAGATATCACAGGGTAGTCAGAAGAGTTTCTTCCTATTCTGATTTCTACTGATTGACCTGTATTTCACAATTTGAGCATTACCTGGTTCAGAACTACAAAATAGAAAATTTCAGGAAATCAGCACTTACAAATACTATATAATACCACTTTTTATATAATAATATATAAAAAGTGGCATCAAATGGAACTAAACAGAAGCAGACGTGAAATTATTAGATATAATGAATGAAACAAATAAATAAAAACAGTGCAGAATTCGGTAAAAACACACAAAAACAAAAGTGCAATCAAATGAACTCAAATACTTACAAAAACTATTAAAGATATGATTGAAAATTCAGGGCGTTTCCAGATGATTAGTTGAGCTCCAGCGACTTATTATTTTCAAATAAGAAACAATAAATGAAATTGCTTACGGAATACGAAAGTGTAACTCAGTCCATTTCATTTGGAAAGGCTGTGTACCCTATATCGACATCGGAAAGGTCATAAGATATCTTACTTCATGATCGTGACCGATCCAGAGAAAGTAAGTGCGAACTGTTGTTTTCTGAAACAAAATGTTTGTTATTACAATGTTAGATTGTGACATAATTCATTATGATAAAGGTACATATTCAAATAAGAGTATTTGACTTTAAGTAAAGAAATTTGAAGAGAATGGTAACATTTCGCATTGAGAAGGCGAAGGAAATCTTTGCCGGGGGACAATAAAAAAAGCAACGATCGAATTCAAGTATCATTTTTCAGATACAATAAAAGTCTGATGAACAAGCATCATTATGTTAAAATACAAGATGGCTTTAAGCCGAACCCAAAAAGCAAGTGAAGAAAATATGAGCAGTTAAGCGATATTATGCAAGTAGATAAGAAAAACGCCTATTTAACATTGGTTCCTCCGTCTCCACAGGTATTGTTAGAAATGTTGACCATCATAGCCCACGCACAGTTTGGCCTGACGAATCAACTTGCTGGAAGTTGGTGATCCCGTTGGATGTTGGTGATGGTGTCGCGTATATTCTGTTCGAATGCGTCAACAATTCGGGACTGTAATGGTAAACCTTGTCTTTCAGGTTGCCCACAAATAAAAATAGCATTTGGATAGATTAGGTGACTGTAGAGATTATAGATCCTTCGAGACAGTTCTGTCAGGGGTGAAAATTGAGAGCCCTGCTTCCACGGAGACGTCTCGAATACACTAACGATTTTCGACTTGTGTTCTGCTATTTCTAGCTCGGATCACATTGTGTGACATCTTATACAATCTATGCCATCTTGTATAACATCACTTTATAGTTCATTCGTTCTTCATTTGCTTTGGTTTCGGTTTATCTTGGGTCACCCCGTATGTCAATGAATTTCTTCAGTTAGGTATTGTAAAATGACACTACGTTGTGATATAATACAACATGTAGGGTTCCTAACTCCTTTTATTTAAGATCAACGTCGAGGAACCTAGTGAACTATACAACTTATCGCTCAGTTCAAAATAACTAAGTCGTGGACTCGAGAAGGATTAATATACCCTTTTATTCACTCAAAATAACAAGCGGCCCCTTCTCGGACTTACATGAAGCCTCTACTCGGACTTTAACTCAGAATAAGAAATAAGACACTAAACTATAATTAACTAAACGAGACATAGCTAGACACAATTATCTAACGTATTGGCCCTTAAATTAAACTAACCGGCTAATTTCAAAAGGCACATATAATACGGCCGAGCGTAAGCTTCAAGAGTGACTTAGAGCTAAAAGGCAAAACACGCGCTACTAAGGACTTCTAGCATTCTCTATCGAAGTTAGTTGAACCTTCTTTAAATACTTCTATTTTGCATTCAACGCGATTCTAAAAATTCATTCTAGTAGGGGGTTGTAAGTGGAAACAAGAATTGATAGGAAAGGGTTTCGAAATTAAAACAACTGTTATAAAATTAAAACCTGTAGAGACATTAGGTATTTTTTGGAAGCAGGGAAGATGAAAAATGAGCAATCGCCTTCGCCAGGAATCGAACCACGGACCTCTGGAATACCGGCCCAGCGTGCAGAACCACTACACCACGAAGGCACGCTAGGAAGGTGGGACAAATGCCTTATATACTTCTCTTTTAAAGGGCGACTGGGGTTTTTAGGGGACCCAATCGCCAAATTTTGGGTGAGGAGAATCATCATCCAACACCCTTTTAGTTCAGGCGCCACTGTAGAGACATTGGGTTAATTGGAAAAGCCGGAGAGATGAAAAATGAGCAATTGCCTTCGCCGGGAGTCGAACCACGGACCTCTGGAATACCGTGTAGAACCACTACACCACAAAGGCACGTTAGGAAGACGGGAGAAATACCTTATAAATGCACCTTACAAAACATGAATTAGAAAAACGGTTGCATGTTTGATCGCATCGATGAGATAGTGCTGTTGGAAAGTTATGTCTTTTAACAGAAGAACAATGCACAGAAATGTAAATCATACTCACTTTAGTGCCTTAAACTGTTCGCCGTTTAGAATGCTTCCAATCTGTAACGGTGATGATTCATAACGTTACTGCCAGTCCTTTCTGAAGCCTTTCTTATTTCGATGTGGGAACAATCATTTGCTTCACTTTTCTATTGTCGAAGATAACAGAAACCGTGTTTCTCCAATTTCATGGCTTTACGATTTTTCTGAGCAATGATCAGTTGTAATAGGGATGACTGCAAATATAAATGTCCGTGTTGCATTTGTATGCTCCATTGATATACATCAGCTATAGATATAAGCTTAGGAACGTGACATTTGTTAGAAATGAAAAAATGAAATTGCAAATTTAATGTACCACTTACGATTTTTCATTACTGTGCACAGTAACAAACATTTCCTTCAAACGTATAATCACAGTTGACTCACTTTGCGGTTTACTTCGATTTTTTTTTTTTTTTTTTTTTTTTTTAAATCAGAAAGTGTTATTGGTCTCGAATGACGATTTTGTGTTGCTACACTTTTCGTTCGACTCTTTTGCCATTCGGCAAAATGTAAGATATTTATCTTAAATTTAATCTGCCTAATAACTGAGTAACAAGCTAAGGTAAAAGTAATAAATGCAGTTCTTAAAAATATTCTTTTTTTCTTTTGAATCTTACTAATTTAAATAAAAATGAATTTTAATCATGATATAGCTAATTAAAAATATTCAGTACGTTTGTAGAATTACGTTGCACATTTTTTCGCTTTTCGGATATACATGAGATATATAATGTTCCCATGTTAGTCAAAATATTTATTCATCTAGTATCTAGGCAGATGGCCATCGAGTGCTTTGCCATAGTTAAATAAACCAAACCAAACCAATCTTTTAGTATCCTACAAAATGTTTCGTTATGCCACCTGGACTATCTCTTCTGATAATCTTTATTGATTAAAGCTGAAACGGCACAGAAAGCATAAACAGTATTGAAAGTCGAATTCATGTAAAATTGAATTAGTTGATTTTGTTTTCAGAAAAAAAACAGTTCGTCACATAAACTTCATTTTCTAAATCTTCCTTCTCGTTTTTTAAGAAACTTTCAGAAATATTCCACCAAAACATCATTTATTTCATCTCTAGAAACTGTTAGAAATTTCTCTATCTTTTTCCAGCCTGACAGTTGTTATAACCATTAAGCTCAGATGAGAAAATTAGTGAGTACTAAAATTCCTGATATTGCAAATGATATTGAGGCCGCGAGAATCACGAGAAGACATTCAAGGGCATTCTTTGCCCACACGAAATGGATCGAAAAATTTGCATCACAATGGCTTCATATTTAAACCGCTACTTGCACTGATTGCTGCTTTATCAGATCACGCTTCAAACTTCTTCCTCCTCATGAAACGGGGGTGAGCAGTAAAAACTACAAGGATAACAGTGAAAGAGAGAAATCGACGACGGCGTGAATTGGAAAATAATCAAACCAAAATGATGATACAAATAATTTATAGTTAAACCTTGCACCACAGAGAACGATAATTCATGGAAGGACAGTGGCAAAGAGTGAAATTGTGAATTCCACTTTAACTTTCCTTAAAACTTATAGGTATTCAACTTTGACCCGGCATGCTCTAGTACTTTGTTCTCAACACAGTGCATGAAAGAGGCCTTTTATCACCTGTGACAAACTGTCTCCATTGTGCATGACAGCATTCCAAGACCCAGTAGCCCTCGGCTTCGAAAGCTCGTAGATCATCGCAGTGTACATCAAGATCCCTGAATGCAACTTACTGAAGTATGTAAGCGAATGTCAGCTTGTCGTTACAATGTGAGAAGACAGAGTTCCTTTATTTACGATTTCGAAATTATTCGTAAGCGGCTTCTTTCTTTTTGTCAACTCTGGTCACAGTATTCGAATATATATAATTGTAATTTATTGTAATTTAGGTAAAAGAAATTATTTTGATAGGCGTAAATCTTTTGACAGTATATTTGAATGACATCTTGAGCAAAGAAGCCATGTTATTATTCTGTAAGTACACAGACTCTATGATGTTAAAATCAATAACAAAGTGAAATGAGGTTAAACGTTGTATTTTTTTTTAAAGGGAGGTCTGTTAAATCTCTTGTATTGTTTTTTCGTAAAAAGGATGGTTACAGAATGAAAGTAGCTTATATTGCATAATACTGAAGACTAGAAAGCAAAAGGTGTCTCTTACCTTCACAGTTTTCCCTAAATATTGCAAGAACGAAGTTAGTATTTTCATAAACCTTTTGGTACGAGTATGGACATTTTTTTTTTCGGGGGGGGGGGGGAGGGAGTTTGGATTTAATACAGTTTTCATTCATTTTATACATTATACACACTTTTTTTATTTAGTTATACCTAACATGGTTTAATTAAGGTATTTTAAATACTTCCATTTGAATTTCACTACAAAAGTATATCTTTATTTAAGAAAAAATTCCTAAAATTTACATTTATACAAAAAAAAAAAAAAAAAAAAAAAAAACTCCTCTCCCCACAAAAAAAAAAAAAAAAAAAAGGGGGGGGGGGGAGGCTTTTTAAATCTTTTTTTCCACTTCACATTTTTCATTGCTATACAGTTAAGAATTCAATTTTCTACGCTGATTAATTAAGCGAGCGGAAAGTCTGCCTGCATAACTTATTGAAAATTGTTTCTTTCAAGTCAGAAATTCATCTCAGTAAGAACGCAGGGACCATTAACCCTGAGTCCTCTTATGAATGTCTTTTCAAACTGTTGTCGAATCAAGGGAAGTACCGAAACCTTTATGGTGGGACGCCGTAATGAGGGTGTTCCTTTTCATTAAGCTGCCTTCAGTAAGAAAATGATACAAACGCGAGAGAAAAGTCTCAAAATTTTTCATTTGCATTACGGCATTTTTAACTTGAATTACAACATTTAAAATATTGATTTGCATCTTTCCTGTATGCCTTGTTTCGCCCCTTGCTAGCTCATTCCAGCAAATTATACAGATTTCATTAACAAGCGATTTAGCATAAATTGAGAGGTAAAGAACGCAACCGTATGAATTGTAATAGTCAGAAGTTTGGTTGTGCAACAGCGCTGCCACGTTTGCATGTTGTTTAAAGGATGCTGGTACTCTACTGAATTTGATTTACCAGACGTTATCCCAGATGGTAAGTTAATCTTCTTTTAGATATAATTTTCACCCTCAAAGTGTTGTAACATTAATAGAAAATACTTGGTTTGAATCTAAGAGAAGTTCTACGTTCCAGCTATTCTCAGCGGATGAAGGAAATTTATAATTTTGTTTTCTGTTATTTTCATTTTTTACTTACATATGGTGAAATAGAATAAGTTAAGTTTACCTGCTTGGTCTATTCACTTGCATCATAGCTGTTAGGTAACACTAAGAGGTAAGAGTGTCATCTAAGTAGTTAGTTCTAGTCTGTTACTTTAGAATAGGTACTTCGAGGCCATTTTTTTCCCCTTAACCCTGACTCTTAACTATGGCAACGATAACTGCGTTAAAAAAAGGTCAAATCCTCTAAATTGCTAAAATCCTCTACTTTCTTCTGTGCTGTGTTAACGACACACTTTGCGATTATAAAAGACAGAAGGGTCGCTCCGACCTTGAAGTGCGTATATTAAAGTAACAGAGTATAGTTAGAAATAGTTTAGAGCATTATTTGAGTTATTTTTAAGAGGAAAATATTCATTCATACAAAAGTATTAGAACAGGATGTTGACTTATATCATTGTTCTATGTAATTGTTTTATTTGAAAACACAAAAGTTATTAATGATCGGATGTAATAACAATTTTTAAAAAAACTGAAATATTTTTAGTAATTAACAGTATACTGACTGTAATAATATTTATTGACGTATCTTTCTAGGAACTCAATATATTGTTTCTTTTTAAATTAGTTTTACAAGTAAAAAGATGTTTCTTTGTTTATTTTCTTCCCCTCGCTCCCAATTTACAAACAAGAAAAACTATATAAACACAGATGCTTTGCTACATTAAAATTATTGTTTACTGAAAAATTAATAGTTCACATTAATTTTCATTTTTCGTTTTATATTCATGTTTTAAAAAGAGTTTATAAGAATTATTTCCTCTTTCATTTTTTCTTGCAGTACAAAACATCGAAAAAGAAACAGTACCGTAGATATGTGGAAATAAATTTAAAAATGGGAAGGTGGAAAAACGCACTGTTATTCTACTTTTCTATTTTTTGGAATAGCAGCAAAATACGAATAAGCTGGAAATTTTAAAAACTTAAGATATGATAATCACAAATAAAACAGAAACACAAACTTTAAATCCTTATCTCAAGTTATTAATGCTACTCGCACCAGAAAGTGAAAATGTAAAAAATACAACAAATGAGTAAAATATAGGTAAGAACAAAAAAATAGTTGTAGAATTTCTTAATTGCCTAATCATGGTAATCCATTTAAATGTCATTCTGGAACTCGACGAAAGAAGATAACTCCGGATAACGAATGAGTTAATATTACTCGCACGAAGTTCGCAATTACGTACGCAGCAGTTGCTGGTATTCGTAGAGTTGTTTACATGTTATTGTGCCGGAACTCATCACATGACTTCTGGAAAAGTGAATTCCTTATTTACGGAGATTTGTTATTAAGTGGTAGAGGGAATTTTGTTGCTGTAGATCATTAGCATAGAATAAATACAGCCTTAGATTGATGTTAGGTTTATGGAAAAAAAATTAAGCATTTACAGAAAGTCTGACATGCTTTTTTAATGCATTCTGCGTTCAACATTTTACACTTATAAGCCCATTACGGGAATTTTATATTAATTCATTAAATGGGCGTATATAAATATAGTTGAAATATATATTGGTAAAAAAATAGCCTATCACTTACATGAATTTAAATTAATTACTAAAATTAATTAAACTGAAAGAGGATAAATCACACCAATATTAATTGTACGTTAGTAACACCAATATCTATAGGTTATCAGTACTTTAAGCAGAGAAGTTTCAAAATTCCAGGAGTGAATTTGTTTTAATCAGTCCTAGCCCAGTAAAGCTCACAAACAGTTAACTCAGAGTAGTGGTTAATAAAATATCTAAATATGCTTTTACTGAAAATGTCATCCACTTTTTTAATTCATTTACTATATTGGTTGACTAATTTTAATTTAAAATAAATTACGTTGTATAGAATTAGATACATAGTACATTCTATACGTTGTATAGAAATGATTTACATAAAAAAATTAGCAAATTAAAGTACCTAAACCTTTTTTGCTAAAATTAAAGTTTTTTAGTAAGAATCCTTAAAGTTAATTTTTAGTCGGTTGATTTATGGTTAACCATATGATGTTTTTTGTAAAGGACAGAAGGACTTTTTAATGGAAACTTTCGTTATCCACTGCGAAAACCACGAAAGCGCCCA